TAGAAAAAATAATAAGTAGAATTCTCAAAATAGTACAGATAACATAAGTTTTCCTTTACTAGAATATTTTTTAAAGTTTTGTATTAGGTAGTATTGTCTAAAAACTTTTGAATACCTTTAAAAAAGCATTTTCTCAGATTACTTAAACAAACATTATAACAGAATCTAGTCTGCAATCTACTCAATACAAATTATTTTATTCTGTCCTACTCTTATGCAAGAAAAATATATGAATATTTCCCTTAAAGTTAAATTTAAATAAAAGCATTAAGGTAGCAATTAAGATTGGATATCTTTCTTCTTTTTAGTGAGAATAGTAGAATCAAAACACCTTTAAAAACAAAATTACAGTCCCTTACTAATTTTCTTTTTTGAAATATTTACAATCAACAAAGTTATTTTCTGTAATCATATAATTTTGAATTCTGTAAATATTCTGTTAATACTTTCAGAAACTGCATAATTTTGGATCATGTCATCAGAAAAAGAGTGGTATATATAGATTGAAATAACTAAGATTTACCAGAGTATATTTATGATTAACTGGTTGATGTCTTCTCACTTTTTTCCCATACCAGAGTCGAGACATTTCCTTCCCAGAGCAAATTTAAGTTACATCAAATCACGTAAGAACTGTTTTCAAAAGCATTCTTCCTCTGTCAAAGATAAATTTCCAGCACCAGAGCCTTACTACAGTGACAAAATAGTATGCTAGAGAGAAAGATTTGATTGACAAGACAGAGAGCTAATCACTAAGTAGTATCCATTGCAAAGATAGTCCTGAGTGGAGACTGTAAAGCTGGGGAGGGAAAAGAAGGTTTCCCATACTAAAGTTTGGTTGCACTGTACTCAAATGTACAGAGAAAGGGCTCAAAACTTTAAAGATACAGAGCATATATTTCCAAACACCAGTACACTAAACAAATATACTACAAGTTTCTTTGTCACAATAATGTATTAAGCACAATTTTCAGATTGTCTCCCAAATTATATAAATGATTTCTATTAACATTCTTTTATTTGCTCATACAGTAATAAAACCCTGTTCTTTACAGCTATGAATTGTATAAAAGTTCATCTTTTATGTGATTTTTTAAAAATAAGATGTCCATATTAAACTATATTTCCTAATATCTTGTTTATTGAAAAGGTATTTATATATAATATGCTTACATATACTATACTTCAATAAGTAGTATTCTGCATATAATTGAACTTTTAAAAGATTAAATTAGAAATATATTTAAACTATACATTGACAAAAATCATAAAACTCAATTTTAACTACAATATGAACACTGTAATTGTATATCTGAATATATTTTTTCATTTTAAGGTAAACCTGTTCCTCCCCTGTAATCTTGTCATTTTTTACACAAGCATCATGTCTTCAAATGCACATCACCTTTTTGAACACCCACAATAACGCCCACACTTCAGTCTAGCATACATGGAACAATAGCATACTCTACAGTGAATACTCTCCCTTCCCACATACTAGCCATCCCCTCATTCCTGTCAATCAGCCCCACCATAAGCATTTTAAGACTCCCCCCACATCGATATACACCATCATTAACTTCATACAGGCCTTAGAATGTCCTCAAACTTACAGTGCATACTGGTCACACACCATCTTCTTATCACGAATTCTCCCTATACAACCATCAGCAATATTATAAAATTGGGGGAGGGCATTTTTAAAACCTGTCATGACTTCCAGCCAGATTTTTCTAAAATGAAAAATACTAAATGTGTTCCAAAAAGTATGATATTAAAAATAAAACAAAGAAAAAGCCATCAAGTATAGCATATTCTGTTGGTTATCTATTCAACATCCATATCTGAAAAAATGAATCTCTATATAGTGAATTTAGACACAAAGGCTTCCTTCATTTTTTTGACAAAATCAATTCTATGTGGATTTTCTGGTGAGGCTGAGAAGAGATCAAGAGAGTTTATTATTTGTTGTTTATTTGCTATATGACTTAATTTTAATTTTGCTATTATTTTACTTTAATAACAATAAAATATTGATTTATTAAAATGAACACCAGAATAATTCCTACCTGGACATTTAGTAAATAAAATACTAAGCATATTATTGAAGCCCTTTGATATCATGCTTCCTAGAAGCTGAAGTAGTACCTCTTTTGAGGTATTCTCTGAGAAACCCAAGAACTATGGCAATACCTAATAGCAGCTCTGCAAGCAAATCTGAGAACATAAGACAACAACCACACAAGGGTTAAAAAAAATCCAATAATTATATAATATGATGGATTTTATGGCTTATATTAATTTTAAATATTTGGCATTTATAAAATTAAAAGAGAATACTATTAGAAATTAAAATAAAACTGTGCAGATTATATAAATGATTTTAAAAACTAGCTAATCAGAAGAAAGATTCTAAAATCTGTAGAATAATGGCATACAGGTTCAAGAAATAAGCAGTACATATTTACATTTATACTTAATCACTTGAGCTTTGACTGAGAAAACAATGTCAAACACCAAAAATAGTGCAAATTGTCTCAGAAACTAAAATGTGAATGGAACATTGTTTTATCAATACTTTGGCAAAGGTGAGAGGTAGGAAATATATCAAAACAACTTCCTTTTAATATTGTGGGTTTTTTTTTTTTTTTGTATAGGACAATGAACCCTAAGCCACATCCCCATGCCTTTTTAAATATTTTATTTAGAGACAGGGTCTTGCTAAATTGATTAAGGGCCTTGCTAAGTTGCTGAGGCTGGCTTTGAGCTCACCATCCTCCTGCCTCAGTCTCCTAAGCTACTGGGATCATTGGAGTACATCACCATGCCCAGCTCATACCAATCATTTTAAAAATGAAAACCACTACTATGTTATGTAACCTACTGAAGTTAATAAATAGACTAATTTTTTAAAAATTAATCAAAAACCTTAAGCCAAAGAAATGAATTTCTAAATAAATCAATTAAAGCTGATTCAAAAAAGCCAGGTTATTAGCTATTTTTATTTATCATACTAGGAGGATTTGATGTTTTATTTAATAAGTTTGGAATATGGAAAAACTGAACTAAAACAAATTTTATAATAAAGAATTTTGCAAGACATTTTTTTTTGGTCCAGATCTTAATTCCCAAAAGAATAAAAAGTCACCCAAAGGATGTGAACAAGCAATTTTAGCTTAAAAAGCTCTATCTTTGAGGTCTCACATAGCAAGATGGCTATACCCAAAACATGTGACAGTATGAAATCCAAGACTCTCAGAGAATTCAAGAACAGAGCCTCTTGAACGTGGATGGTGACATATATAGCTCAGGGATACAGTAATGTGCCATAGTACCTCCGGATGTATCTTACTGTAGCATCATTTTTACTTCATAAGCAAGCCTTTGAATCAAAATATCAGAAGTCTGTTGTTTCCAAAGTTAAGTGCTCCAACCTAATTGAGGGAAAGGTCTCAAAGCTTACTGGTTTAGAAAAATTACTGTCCACCACTTCACCATCCAAGTTAGAAACTATTTTATATCCCAGTTGTCACTACATCCTAATTAGCTAGGTAATATATTTTTCTAATTTATTTCATCCTGTTCTACTTTACCTTTAACTGTTACTTAGTATAAGTGTAGATTTTTCATAACTTGTGTTATTTTAATTGCCTCCTAAAGTCATGATTCTGAGATTTTTATAAGGCAATCACCAACAATATCACCACCCAGATTAAAATAAAGTTCCCTCCTGCCCCTTTGCCATCTCCTTAACCCCCAGCAGTCTGATGACTATTAAGCTCATTTTGCTCTTTTGAACTTGATGTAAATGGAATTACATTGTATATACACTTTTTGCCTAGCCTCTTTTATTTGAATGCCTAAGAGATTCATCTAATATTGTTGCCTGTTTTTGATCTTTCTTTTTTAGCTCTATATTACTGGAAATTTTATTAATATTCACAAATTTATCCTCATTCTCCTGCAGATGCCCATTCAAGTCATTTCCATTTTGAATATGAATAAAGCTGGTATGAAGATTAATAATGTTGGTTTAAGCTTTAAAAGATTCCAATATAAATGCTCAATAACTGTCACTTCTTTCATTCCATTATATTAAAGTTACAGTGGAAATGGATGCTGTATATACCACACAGAACGAAAGTAGACACATTCACAATCAAGTTTACCTTTTAAACAAGACATGCCATGTATACTGCTAATCACTATACATGTTATGTTCATGCATAATAAATTCATATAACATAAACAACCACAAACATTAACCAAATGATTAACAAAAACTGATTTCTATGATAATCACATTTTAGCATCTGCTCTATATTTTCTAATACATCAAGAATAGATTAATTCAGGCAATAAGAAAAACTGATATTGTCAACCTATCAACCATAAAACTTAAGGCATGTGAAATGAGATCATTTAATCTCAACAGATTGATCTAAATGGAGTTCAATAAAGCCTATCAATATTTATTTGGCCAATTAAATAAGTTCATTAACTTTGAGCACATAAAAATTATAACTTTATTACATTAGCACAAGCTAACATCCCCTAACATTACTATTGCTAAATTCATGTCAATATAATGCTTAGGTCTGAAAGAACTGCTATTTGCCTCCAGGTGTTCAATAAGTATTGCACCTCCTCCATGCAGGAGATGAAATTAAAATGAATCAAATATGAAATAAAAGTTTTAATAAAGTTAATAGAAGAGCAGTTAATATTATTTCCATCTTTGCCACAGTGTTACTCCTTCTGAAAATAAAGATTCTAAAATACATTGAATAAAAGTCATCTAGAAGCTGCTAGGTTATTCTTCTAGTATTTTAAATCAAAAGCAGAGTAACAAATGGTATTAAAACTACTGCCAGATTCATCCTGGACCTTTAAAAATAACTTTTTTGTACAAAGATAACTTGTATTTAATACTACCATAAAATTCTAAATTCATACAAAGTAAAAAATAATAAATGAAATCTTCATATTTTTTTTCTTACCTCCCATTCTCTGGCTGCTGCTTGATTAGTAGAATCCTCATTTGTTTCAGACTCTTCAATCTTTTTTACTACTATAAACCCAGGTTCTCTAGTATATTCACCAGTATCTTCTGCATATATTTCTGGACTCCACTGAATGAAGAAGGCATATAAGTGGTCCGTCCTATTAGAACAAGGGAGTATTACTATAACTAGTATTCTGTGCTATTAACTACATTTACAAAATCATATGTGAGATATCTTGGTAAAATTTATAGACAAAATGTACACAAAATATAATGCACTTTATATAAAAAGCCCATTGGAAAAACATTAACTTAAAAACAATTTATTTGGCTATACTCTGTTGTTTTGAAAAACCATATTGAGAATTTCTTTGGCATGCTTTGACTAGTTCAAATGTGATATATAGCTAATATTTTTCCTCCTTAAAGATATTAGTGATGGGAAAGAAAATTGAATCTGTAACTTTGTCCTAATTCACTAATAATTTTATTAAAAACCTGTCATTCCTTATGTGACAGCTAACACAGAGTGTACTGTTTTATCTTTCAGAAAATTTGTCCCTATCAAAAGCAATATAAATTAAGTCATGTCTAAAAATAAAGCTTAGAATCCTAGTAAAATTACTTTTAAATGAACATTAGCCAACATGAAAGGACATTATTAAAACAAACTTCCATGTAAAAATGAAAATATAACCAAGAGTAAACAGAAAAACTAAATTTTTGTTAGTCTTAACTAAATATAGTTAAAATTTTCATTGGAGTCATTTCAATATGACTGACGAATTATCTGGCTCTATCCCTTTTAATTATTTATGAACTATACAAACATACCATAAACTTTATTTACTGTAACCACATTTTGTTGAAGGCATACTCATTGTCTGATGGGTTAAGGGAAATAGGGAGAACTTTATCATTATAACCCCCAAAGCAGTAGTACTCAAAGAAACACAGAAATCTTTTCTAAGAGGTATATGGACACTTAAGATCATTCTAAGGGAATCAATTTCTCTATAATTTCTATATTTCTCTCTTCTCATACTAATCTCCCTAAGAATTATACAATAATGATGGTGTGCAGATTTACTCCTTCTCTGCTTTTACTAAAAATACTTTTTTACTAATTTGTAAAAGAAAGGTGTATCATCTTCCATTCAGATTTTTACAATGGTACATTCCTTAAAGTATAACTACTTCCAGGCTGCCCAAGACTGGTATTGAAACATGGAGAATTATAAAACTGGGTTATTTCTTTTGTAAAACTCAGTTGTTTCTAATCCATTGATTTCCACAAAACTGAAGAAGTTTTCAATGGAGTTTCTTACTGTTGATCACTAAAACCAATTTTGATGAAAGATAATGAAGTTTTGGAACATAATAAAACAACTTGAAAGAACTGAATGACATTATAAATAAAAGTATTTGAGTGTTAGTGACTTTTATATAAACAAAGCCTCTCAGTATTTAGAAAGAAAATAAAAAAGGGAAAAAGTGATGCTGAATCCTTCCTCATCCTTTCAATGAACAACCTTCATCAATCGATATCTGATTACTGCTATTGTTGAGACTGTTTTCTGCCACCATGTATCAAACCAAGGCAGGCTGACTTGTAAGCTTCCAAGTGGGTAAAATCTTAGGCTTTTTATTATTTTGACAACAGTAATGGAAAGTTATGAAATAAATGGAATTTCAGTATACATATATGCAGATATGTAAATGCCTATGTATGTGTAGTTTGTTGCAAAGAATAATAAAAGATAAAAATACCTTATATAAAATTCTGTGAGGAGGCATAATGGAAAATAGAAATACAAAGCTAAAAATGTAATGATGCAATTTTAACTATTAAAGGAGAATATAGGCTGGGCGTGATCTTACACACCTGTAATCCCACCAGCTCGGGAGGGAGGCTGAGGCAGAAAGATTACAAGTTCAAAGCCAGCCTCAGCAAAATTGAGGTGCTAAGCAACTCAGTGAGACCTTACCTTTAAGTAAATACAAAATAGGGCTGGGGATATGGCTCAGTGGTCTAGTGACCCTGAGTTCAATCCTAATACCCATTAAAAAATTAAAAAAAGAGAACATATGGGTTTTCAAGTGGATTATGGCAGATTGCAAATTGTTAGGCTGTTTAGTTTCTACTGGATATATAGTATTTAAAAAATCAACTTAATAATTTAACTTAAAATATCAATATTTATAATTTACTAACAATAGACATACTTTTAACTGATTAAACTTATAATAAAGAAATTCACTGTGCTCTAATGTACACAAAAACAGCTTGAAAATACTACATCCTTTTAGTAGCTAATTTAGTGTTATGTATATAGAATGCATTCAATATATTTGAGGCAATTGAAATAAAGAGATTATAATTCTAGATTATTACCTGCCTTCAGGTAAAGGCCATATCATTTAATATTTCTTTTAAATAATTTTTTTAGTCGTAGTTGGACATAATACCTTTATTTTTATTTGAGGATTGAACCCAGCACCTCAAATGTGCTAGGCGAGCACTCTACAACTGAGTCACAACCTCAGCCCCTCATTCAATATTTTAATGAACCTTCATATCTAAGATATCTTAAAGAACATTTTTTTGCCACTAAAACTGGATACATAGTCACATTTTTTTAACAAAATATAATTATTTTTAACAAAGATATAATTAAAAATGGGATAAAGTTAGGTGTACAAAGTAGGAGTTAAATGATTTTAAATAGATTTAAAGTACAATTTTAATTGGAAACTACTTTTTATAGTACTTTGTCATTGGTATGCAGGTATACAAAATAAATTTAATTCATGGAATCTTAATGTTTTCAAGCTTTTGTTTTTATGTTATTCTACTTTACCTTTCTTGTGGCACTGCAAACCAATATTCATGTTTCTTATCTCTTTGTGCATACTGTTGCATTGTAGCGCTTGCTTGGGATACAAATGTTTTCCTCATTGGTTTTCCAACTCTGAGACACAAAAACTTATGTAATCTATTTCTTCTCTTTTCCTTTAAAAGTGCAGAACCTAGAAGTGAGAGCCAAACAGTATTTATACAATCCGCATGCATCACATAATTTAGATTAAGTAATCTTATCTTTCAACTTTAGACTAATTACAGAATCAAAACTCATTTTACTGCTACCAGATGAATTATCTTAAGTAACCTGTATTTTTCTCCCAACAAAGTTGAAGTCACAAACACAGCAAGACCAAAAGAGAGAGCCAAGTTAATAAAGTGAAATTATATTTATGGAAAAATGCAAAGCTTCAGGAAATAATTAAATTTTTGTTTAGACATACTATGCAATTTATAATTTTCTGCAAATTCTCTATCAGTCTTTAGAATGGCATCTAAGTAAGTTTGCAGGATTTTGTAAGGCTTACTTTAATATAGTAATTACAGATAAAAGTTGAGTAAGTTTCTGAATTTTTACATACACACAAAGTGTGATAAACCTAGATTCATTAACTTAATTGGACAGTTAATTAAGCCTGAATAATCTTTAAATCTCTCTACCAAAGATACAGATATGAAGTATTTTTAGTGTTTGATAATATAGTTGAGTTCGTGAAATCTGGACATTAATTAGCTTGCAAAGGCAGCATATTATGAAAGGAAGTGTGCTTACAGAGATCTAGATACCTTTTGGCATTTTTTCTGTGTAAAACTATACAAAGTACATGGCTTTTCTTCTGTGTAATACTGTGGGAAGTACATAATCTATTTTAGCCTCAGTATTTACATCTGGTCAAAAGGAGGAACTATAAGCATTTTTCTCATAGCTGTATTTCTCAGCTTTATATTTATTATATAGTTTTATTACAAAAGTCATAAAGATCAGAAAGTTTTAATATTTCTCTGTTGTAGAGTATTAGGTTACTTAAAAAATACTTAAAATTAATTTCATGATATAAAAAAGAAGAAACCAAATAGCAATCTATAGACTATATGAATACAGACTCTATGAATACCTACCAATTTTTCTCCTTTTACTATCTATCTGGTTATAAAAGGATCTCACCTAACCCCCACAACAATCTCATTAACAGATTATTGTTAGTCAACAGAATCCATAATTTTATCTTTTTCAAAGGCTTCAAAATATAAGGCAAAAATCAGATGTAAAGGTCTTCAAATAAAGATATTCACATAAGAATGATTTATACCAAAGAAAGTAAATGTCTTAATAATATAAATTGCTAATAACAACAGAGAGTCTTAACAATATGAAAATGGTTGAATAAATCATATGGCTATTAAAACCATGTTTTCAAAGAATTATAACATAGAAATATTCATGACAAAAATGTTAAGTGGAAAAAAAGCAGGATAAAATATTATATATAGTGTAAACCTGATTTCAGATAAAGAAATCTATAAGTATAGTACATGTAAATATCAAAATTATGCACACACACACACACACACACACACACATGCATATAAACACATAGATCCTCTAACAACAAATATTCCAAATGTTAATAATGACTGCCTCTGGGTGATAAATCCCAAGTAATTTTTATAAATTGTCTAATAGCCTCCTATATTTTTCATATATTCCTTAATAAATATTACTTCTAAATAAAAATATTATAGAGGAAATAGTCCTTGATTTTAGTATATCTTTTATAGAATATGCTTCAACTAAATGTATTTTTTAATATTCTGATAAATATAATCCTTAGGTCTAAAGGGTATGTCAATTGGATGATGCAAGTACTATTTAGTATTTTAAAAATTAAAACAAATCGTTACACATTGCTACTGGGAATGTAAAGTGGTGCAGCCACTATGAAAAATAGATGGTTTCACAAAGAATTAAACATGGAGTTATCATATGATCCAGTAGTTTCATATGTGCTCTAAAAGACCAAAAGGAGACTCAACCAGATATTTGTATACCAATGTTCACAGAAGTATTATTCACAATAGCAAAAAGAAAGATATAACAAAGTGAATAAATAGAATGTGACAAACATACAATTGAATATTAATTACTAAGCTTTAAAAAGGCAGAGAGTTCTAACTATGCTATAACATACATGAACCTTAAAGGCATTATGTTAAGTAAAATGATCCACACCAATACATACACATACATACACCCCCCCAAAAAAAATGCATGATTTCACTTAAATGAAGTACCTAAAGTAGTCAAAAGAAGAAGAAAGTAGAATGATGGTAGCTAACAGCTATGAGAAAGGGAAAATGGCCATTTACTATTAGTATGTAGTTTCAGTCTGGGAAGATGAAATGTTCTGGAGATGGATGTTGGTGATGGATGTCAACAGTACCTAATATTACTAGACTACAGACTAAAAAATGGTTAAAACAGTAAATCTTAAGTATATTTTACCACAATTAAAAAAAACAGTTAAAATGGTAAATTTATTTCATGTATATTTTAGAAGAATTTTTAGTTCATATGTAAATTGGGATCAGTATATTTCAATGGAATTACTTAATTCTAGACATGTTTGCTGTTTATATGAGCCCATTTAACCCATAATGCACTAAGTATAAGCACAGTATATTAGAAGGAGACTGTTTCATAATTTTCATAAATAATATTACCAAAAACAGAACTAAAAGAGAATATGATATTTTAATTTATCCTGTTTTTTTTAAAGAAAACATATAATAGGATGATGATGAAACTTCTGGATATTTGGAAGTATTCTAGGAATAGATTTTTATATCCAATTGTACTTTCTAAAAGAAAGATGAAATTACAACTTCGGTAAGTATAAATTTCAACTAAAATATATGTGCAATGATAAAGGCACACTAAGAACTAAGAGACACAATGGAATAAACAAGTTATTACAAAACTTCTGTGAATTTCCAAGAAACAAACTGCTATTTAAGAAAGAATGCATTCAGTTAAGAATGTTAAAAAATGATACAAAAGATTCTCATTTTGTAAACCTGTATCTTTGGGATATGAAGACAGCAGGTATCAAAGTCTTATCCCCAGAGTAACTTCAAACAAGGGCTACTTGATTATCTTTCAGACTGGTCTAAGATACAGCAGTGTTTGAGTCAGTTAGAAGAGACAACATGCAATAAAATGAACTAACTTCATAAGCTCCTTGACGCTTACCTTCTACATGCCCATCAGCAGATATAATTTTATGTTTGATTTCTTTCTGTGACACTTGCTGAATATTTTCCCTTTGCTCTTTAGTTTGTTGCATGGTATGAGTTTTCCAGAGTTTACGTAACTCTTCTACCTCTGTCTCCGAGTCCCAATTTTGTTCCTTTCCTTGTTTTCCTTTGTCAACAGTTTGCTTTTGTTTAAATTCTGTCGTTTCTCCATAAGGCATATTTTCTTTTCCACTCTCTTCTTGATGCAATGAATCCTCATGACGAAAACCATCTTGGATTACATGACCTTTTATACTTGTGCTTTGTTCTTTAGGGGCTGATAATTCTTGAAGGTTATCTGTAACTGTATCTCCTCCCTTAGTGGACATTTCCAGATTATTTAAATCAGCTGCATGAGATAAAGCCCCAACTTCATTTGTAGAATGTTCAGTACTGGATTTTGAATGATCAAGAGTACTAGTAGACTCTGATTTGGCCACTGAACATTCTACTTCAATCTGATTGACAGTTTGCACAGATTCTGATGATGCACCAGATGACTTATCTTGTCGTAGCTGATCTGAAGAGATAAGCTCCTCTCGAACTGGAGAAAGTTCTGATTCTGTGAACACATCTTCAGAAAGAGACTCCTCAGTACTCCTAGGAGCAGTGCTGGCACTATCATTACCTGCATCACGGATTCTTGAGTCCATTTCCTCAGTATTAATTCCTGTTATTTTCTTTGAATGGCAGAAGTCCTTTCCTGATAACTGATCTAGTTCTCTGTCATTAAACAAAGTTAAATATTATTAGACTTTAAAAATTATCTTTTATATACCACCAATTGAATAATTAATATCACTGAAGAGGTTTTTCAAAGAAGATAAAGTAAGTATATGTCTCAATAGAATATAAAAATTTTGATTTATTCACAAGGAGAAAGTAATCATATTAGATTTTTCAGTAACTGCTTAAGATATGGAAAACAACAATATAAGATTTCCTTGAAAGGAATCAAAGAAAGTTTGATAACATAATTCTGGCTGAAGCTAGAATTTTAAACTAATATATTTACTCATTGATGGAATATAGAAAATAGCTTAAAGAAAATTTCAATTAAAATGTTGTATCTTTTAATAAAGTAAGAATACATCCGATTTGTTATATACACACACAGCATTCATTTACATTCAAATAGGGGTTGAATTAAAATATAAGGTTTAAATAGAAGGCTTAAAAACAATCTCAACAGAACTGAGAAAAAACTATTTTCAGGAAATCTTTAAGCTAATAAATCCTAAATAAAAGTTGTAAGAGAACTTATTCAGATAAAGAAATTAGACATTGGAATGAATGATTCATAATTGGGTTCAGCTTTACTTCTTTATTGCCATTTGTCTGGACAAACACTCATGTTCAAAAGCCATAGTTTACATTCTGGAAAAAATAAGTACACATCTTTTTTCATGAAATGTAAGTCAGCAATTTACAGTGATGGTTATAAGTATCTTGTGGCAAATAGAAACTACATGAATTCTTAGTGGATACAGTATTAATATTTATACATATACAGTTGGAGGACCACCTAAAAACACTATAAATGGAAAGAATAGAAAGTAAGGTAACATAAAAATAGTTACTTCTCTGTATGGAAAAGTTGTAAATCTTTTTATCTCATTCTGTTTCTTGCATTTATCAAATTATCTGTAATAAATCTGCATAATTTTTATAACTAGACTAAGTAAAAATTTTAAAATATTATTCAGTTGAAGTTCAATTTATATCTCTGCCTCTAATGTACTGGATTCATCTTTTAATTAACACAAGCATCTAACTTGTGTTATTTAATATACAATAGTGTCATCTACTGGTATTTCATTTAAACTGCATCTATGAGTTCTTGGAATTGGACACTAATTTTGAGAAATCTTACCTGTACATTAGAATTATAGACCCTTAGGGTAAGAGATAAAAATAAGAGCCTAATAGAAAATACATCTAGGTAAGTGCTAAACTCTTCAGAGTTAATATGTTTAAAGACTAAACATTTATGCCAATAAAGCTGCTACTGTTTCAATATAGTTCCAGACAGTATCTCTGAAATCAACTTTCTAGAAAGTATAAAAAGACAAATCAAAATTTTCAACGCATTTTTGCTACATATTGCATTATTCTGTAAATAATTTCATGCTTTGTTTATCTATTTTGGTGCCAAATATTCTTTTTCATTAATCTATATGGCAAGATTTAAAGATATTTCTTTCTGGAGGAATTTTTTTTTTTAAGTTTGAATTTAGTGCATAGTCTTTTTACATGATACTCTAAATGACAAAACAGTGAACTGAAAGGAAAAAAGAAAATATCCTAGTAGAATAGGCATATTGTTCAGAATAAGATAACCCCAAAGTATCATAAAACAAATAGAAAAGTAGGACAACAAAAAAAATCTCACCAATGATTGTATATTCCCAAATATAACCTTCCTCTTTCTCTCTGAATCTTATTCTTTCTGTTTTCTCCTGTGTCATCCCGCCACCCACCGTCAATAATACTTAATTGCTGAATGTGACTCTGAATAAAGATCTACAAACATAACCAATAGAAGAAGATGATGACATGTTCTAATTATCTGTGTCTATAAAGATTAATTTATCACGCCAAAATAATATGTGTGGTTTGGAAGGTATACTGGTGAATTTTCCAAGAGATTTTTTATTCTATTACACATATCCTAACAACTTATCTATTCTTAATCAGAGACAAAAACAATTGCTCCTTTCTCCTTTATAAATTTTCTGCCCAAGAGCCAATTTTGAAACAGTCATCATCACACCTACGAGTTCATAAAGGGATGGAAATATCAGTATTAGTAAAAGTGAAGCCAGTTTTTAAACTGTTGCCAAAGTAAAACAAAGAAGGATAGGGAGGTTCTTTTCTACTACATATTAGTTTTCTTCCTTTCCATTTTTCATTATCTGTAGACCTATATTTTATCATTTTCTCCTTTTATTTCTCATTCCTCTTTTTCTCTCTGGTCACTAATTTAGTCAGCTTTCAAAATCTATGACACATCCCCATTTTATTGAAACATATAAATCCCTGAACAGTGTATTACAAGGTTAACGCTTCCTAATAATACAACTTTTAAGTTTTCTCCTTCACATTCTGTACTTTTTTGAAGAGTGCAAAACTAAAAATCAATAACTAAAAAATAAAACTATTCTGGTTATAGCAGTGTCAAGTATTTATTTTTGTGGCCTGTCCCATATCCTGCACCTCACTCACTCTTTAGGCCTTTTGAGGAAAATTTAAAAACTATCTCTGACAATGATTACTCACAGAGGTAAGTCAGAATTCTAGACACTGTATCTAAATTAAAAAAAGAAAACTGATAAACATTGAATTAATCAGTACTATAGTTTACTTCTCAAATATCTGGTTCTTGACCAAAGATACAAACATAAACCTAAAATAATTGCTAACTACTTTTGGTTGTATTAAGAATAATAATTTTAATACTGCACATATTTTTGTTTCATTATTAATAAGAAGAAAAGTACGTATAAAAACTATTAAATATTTTTAAGAGCATTAGAACAGAATTCACTATCTAGATGTAAACAAATTGCAAAGGAGCAAAAATTTCACTCTTACATGGGTAAGGATTCCTTTATTTTGCTATCCAAAATTTCTTTGTACATTGCAGCTGACATCACCTCTTCCATTGGACACATGATGCCATATTCCTCACAGCCATTCTCTTGAACCAATGGGTCATTTTTATGTGGATCAAACATTATATTATTTGGAGTAACTAGTAGCACACCACTGACTGTGCCCTAAGATGAAAAAAGAAAATAATATTTAATTTTCAAAGTTTAAAATTTCAAAAAGAATTCTAGCAAGGTTTACTAACGGTCTTATGATATTCAGCTATCATACACACAAACACACACACACACACACACACACACACACAAAATCATATATATATGACTCAATAACTAGGACATTCTCATGAAAACATTTTAAATGACAATCCATTTTCCCAGTAAATTCTGCCATTTAGGAGAGGTAGAATACAAAGAATATCATACTCCACCTAAAATAATAAAGCCAGGAATTAATTCTGCAAACTCAGCAAAATACTATTATCATGTATCAGAAAAATAATTTCAGTAATGTAGAAAGGACTGTAAAGTACTGCAAAAGCACAAAGCTATGTTTAACCTTAATTTGCATCCTTCTTCCTGTGCTATTCCCTCACTGCAAGTACCAAACATAGTTTAATGTATACAGTGCAGACGCTATCAAATCATGTGACAGTATAATCCATTATAAAAGGAAAAGAGCAAAATTTCTTTACAATATCTTTTTTTTTTTTTAATGACTGCTTTTCTCTTAATTCTGCTACTTCCAAGTTATGTAACTTTGGGAAGCAATGCCTTTGGGTCTAATTGTTTATTCACAAAATTAGACAGATTAGATGACCTCTAAATTATACAATTATTTTTAATTTCACCATGAAAAGATATAAAATTTTAAACACATTTATATAAATACTGATACAAATCTGCTTTCTAGCCTATTTTTATAAACTAAATTTCACAGGCTTCTGATACCATTAATGTTAATTAATATTTACTGAATACTTCATATGTATCACACTTTTATATACTTGTTGTTCATTTGATCTTCATAATCGTATATCTGAGATGATAAAATTGTTTCTGTTTTGTAGATGGGAAGCCTATAGTCATAGCTAAACAAGCAGGATTAAAAATCCAGATAGTCTGAATTCTTTACTATATTCCTTTGGCATATGGGTTACAAACTACAATCACTCCAAATCAAGTATGGAATATTCTTTAACTAGTATATTTTTTAGCTCTTATTCCACTGTGTTCTATATATGCAAAACTGAAGAGCAAAAAGAATTCTAAAAATCCTACGGTTACTTCAAAGCTGTCTTCCTTTTTCCTAAAGCTATTAAGGGAAAGAAAATCGTAAATCTTGTTTGATTTAGTATCATACCCTTCTTCCAAGTCCATATTCAGTTCTGTGAGCTTACCTAGCTCAACTTTAAGAACATAAATAACTAAATTGTGGAAAACACTGTCATTAAGAATGACCAATGCCAAATTAAAAAAAAATTTAATGCTGAATATGGTCATCCAAGAACAAGTGGGAAAAAAGTGACTACATGTGTTACAGATAATTAAATATTTTCACTTATTATTATTTATAGTAAATGCATGTAATTGGAGAGAAGAGATTGTGCAGATACATTTTGGTGGATAAAGGGAATCAATCTGAAACTAAGCAGCGCTTCTTTTGGTCCAAACCATGAAACAACTAAGAAATCAGTAACTATGAAAAATAGCAGCTTATTTAACTTTTGATTCATATTTTAATTAGATTAATATATATTAATTTGTATTTCTGGAGTACAGGACTCAAGTCAATGAGACAGTAAAGTATGTTGTAGGGTTAGGGTTAGGGTTGTATTGCAAGGTACATCCAAAAAATATATAATCAAGACTATGGTAAAATGTAAAAAAACCTTAAAGGTTTCCAATATCTCATACCTTCTCTTTCCTGTAGATTAAATTATTTCAGAAATTAAACCAAGTAATCAGCCAGAAATTTTTTTAAAAAAGAGCAAATTTAAGGTTCTCTCAAAAACTTTAGGTCACTCTTAATTTTATGTTCATTGATTTTAACCAGATTACTTGGTTCACTAGCATAACATAAATTTTATCTTTCATCTTAAGAGTACTTTCTCAAAGATAATGCTAACTAGCTACACTGCAATAAAAGGTCCAATGTAATGATAACACTTTTAATTGTCCATGCACATTAATACTATTGAAAACTCTATCAAAAACTATGCTACTACTTTTTAGATTAGAAGGGACTTGAAACCCCTTCTTACTAGATGGATCAATCTGCTGAAGCTAATTTCCAGGAATCCATGCTTATATGCTATTACTAAAAGGTGAATTCTTCAAGCTTTCTTTCCTCTGCAGCATAATCAAGGTTTCCATACTTGGCACTTTTAGAGGCAATTGGTCACATGCATTCTCTATAAATCAAGAGTTGACCATGAGAAATGTTTCTTCAGCTGACAATTCTTGAAAATCTCTTGAGAAAGTAATATAAAATTCATTTGACCAAGATCCAATCTAAAATCATAAACTCACACTAATGCATTCCTTTTTTTATTATTTTAAAATATTGACATATCATCATTATATTAAGACTGTTGTGAGCAAAAGATTTCCAATTAAGTATCTTCTTAATCCATGACTTTTAGAAACTTCGGACACAAATTATTCTTTAGTATTAACATTTTCGCTTTCTTATATATAATTTCCTGGAATCTTTTAAGGAGAAATTATTTATATTCTAATATAAAGTCTATCTCCAAGAGAAAAGTCATCGTTTATAATAATTCAATAAATACTAAAAGATAAAAAAAGACTATGATTTAGGAACCCATCTCAGTTAATAGAAAAGTATACAATGATTTTTATTTTTATTTTTTAAGTCCATAATAATTTAATCATTATAGTTTTTATAAATTTCTATTATTTTATGTGAATAACTTTACTATAATCAATATGTAGGAAGATGAAAGAAGAAAATACAAATTGCAAAAGAAATAACAATATCCTGCTTACTTTCTTCTGTGCATTATAATAAAGAGAGCCAGACTCCATAAGAGATTATATTACAATAACATCAGGGAGCAGAGTATTCTGGCTATTCTTAATCCTGCCAATGACTTTATCTTTACTTTGATCCTTAAACAAAATTTTTATTTGTATATTTGCAAATAAATTTCTGCTTCAAGCCAAGAACTAATTCTCAGTACGAGATTTCTGGACATCTATAAAGGGTTTCCTTCAAGATTTTGAACAAGTACGTATTACTAACTATGCATAGAACAACTATCCAAGGATGAGAAAGGAGCACACAAAAGAAGCAAAAGCAACCCCCAGAGGCCACAGAGTCAGGAATACTTTATATGCTTGTTAATCAGAGAGAAAAGCCTTGTATGTATAGGGCCTCAGATTATTCTGAAGAGTATTTTCTCAATAAAAGGGAAAATCTGTCACACATTAAAGGCTGCAGTAGTCTTGCTGAAAAAACTAACAATAAAAAAACTTTAAAACAGAACACGACAGGATTAAATTGTTTATAAGAAATTTAACCAAGAAAGAACTATAAAAATATTTACAGGAATACAACTGTATCCAAAAATCATACACTAGTCATGGAAAGAAACAGAAAAAAAAATGACCCACAACAAAGAAAAAATTCAATTAACAGAAGATCCTGAAGTGAGACAAAAGAAAAAAAATAGTACAAAAACTATTAAAATAATTATTACAATGATATTCTAAAATAGAGAAAAATGATGGTGCATGTAGGTGGAGATATGAAAAATATGAGACCTAGTTTAGACTTACAAAGATGAGACTTTCAAGATTGAGATGAAAATTACTCTGAAAAGAAATAACAATAGATCATACATGGGAAGAAAAACAATAGTTAGTTTTAAGATATATAATAATTAAGCTGGGGGCAGTGGTATATGATTATAATACCAGCAACTGAGGATGCTAAGGAGGCAGATCCCAAATTGGAAGTAAGCCATTTATTGACATCCTGTCTCAATATAAAATAAAATAAAAGGATGGGAGATATAAAGTGCCCTTGAGTTTAATCCCCAGTACTATATGTGGAAAAAAATATAGCAATTAAAATTATATAAATGAAAAGACAGGAAATATATGAAAAGAGTTTCAGGGACCTCTGAGATAATGTTAAATAACCTGTGTGCCTAACTGGAGTTTTTAAAGAGATAAAAGATGGAAGAGAAAAGATATCTGAAGAAATATAGCCAAAAATATTCCAAATTTGACATAAGCTACAAACCCACAGGTATTATAAGTTAAATAAAGCCAAAGCAAATTAAATATGAAAAAAGGCATACCATAATCAAATTGTTCAAAATTAGTAACAAAGAGAATAAAAGAAAAACTACATAATTTCTATCACAAAATACCAAATATAGAAACAACAGTAGACTTCTCTTTGGAAAAATAAAAGCCAGAAAATAGTAGAATTATAACTCACTGGATGTTGGAAAAGATGTTTAACGACAGGACACAGAATTATAGGCTCAGTGGGAGACAGTTCAGCAATTTCTAATAAGCTAAACATAATCTTATCATACCATTCTACAGTCATGTTCCCTGGCATTAACCCAAATCAGGTCAAATTTTACATCCACAGTAATCTGTACATGACAATTAGCATGGCGTTATTCATAAGTATAAAATTTGGAAGAGACTAGGATGTTCTTTAATAGGGAAATTTGCTAAATAAATTGTAATATAACAGCACAATGGAATGTTATTCAGCAATAAAAAGAAATGAAATGTAAAGCCAGAAAAGTCGTGGAAGAATCTTAAATGCATATTGCTAAGTGAAAGAAGTCAATCTGAAATCCTACAATAATATTATTTGATTTCAAATACATGGCACCCTGGAAAAGATAAAAGTATGGAGATGGTAAAAAGATAATTAGTTACCAGGGGCTCATGAGGAATAGAGAAGGGATAAGTAGGTGACACACAGGGGATTTTTAGGGCAATGAAACTATTCTATATAATATGGCAAGGATGGATATATGTCATTATACATTTGTCAAAACCTATAGAATGTTCAGTAGAACACAAGACTCAATTATGTAGACTATGGACTTAATACTTACTAGTTCATCATTTATATAACAATTATAGCACACAAATATAAGATGTTACTAATA